CTGCACTCCCAAAGAGGTCTACAAGCCTCTTAACAAGTCAATTGTTAAGAATTTTCAGAGTCAAGTGTGTTCAACACAGTGAGTTTAAAATGGTAAAAACCCTTTAAATATAAACAGAATTAAAACCCCACACAGCACATGTTAGAAGCTGTCCAGATTGTGGCCTTTTCACCTTGGGCCTAAGAGGACCTTGTAATGGCACATCCAGTCATAGTAACTGGTAAGGAGTAGAATGGGTCTTGACATTTCTAAACCCATCACTAGAAGATGCAAGTAACACCCTAAGCTCAGTATACCGCGAGTTACAGCTTGCGGTATACTGGGACGCTGAAGTGGATCCCGACAATTATGTCTGGATCTGCCCAGCTGCGTGAGTGACAGCTGTACCCGCCCCCTCCGTTCTGCCAGTCAGCGCTGGAGGATCGGAGCGGGGAGAATCCAGCCCCTCCCTGTCACAGGATCGAGAAGTGAGCGAACACTGGCATGTGTTCGCTCACCTCCCGAGCCGACCTGCGACAGTTCAATTGTCACAGGTCGGCTAGAACTATGAGGATGAGTGAAAAGCACTCGCCTCATAGTTCTCCTTTAATCTCTCCCATCCTCCTTTGCAAATACCACTCATGATCACACTAACAAATCATGGTCCATTTATAAGCAACATACCTTTTTGACAGGACTGTCTTCCTCGTCAGAACTTCTGTATGGGGAGAGTTGATTACTTGGCAAAGCGAGATGTGAATACAGGTACAGAGGCAACCACGTGAATGGAAACTGCAAAAGTATCCCCAAACCAACAAGTGTACATAAACACAACCATACACCCAGCACCTCAGGTGAATACTCACTCATCTTTTTCCATTTTCTTCTTCTAGGAAGAAGACAATTCATTACCAAAAGTTACCAAGCACTAGAAAACTAAATACATCTATAACATTGCCATTCCAGTTGTGAATATACTAGCCTCTGACCACAATTTTCTGTCATGTGCTGAAGCATGAGCTCTGGTCCAACCCAGATGGGAGGAAGTAGCCCAAACCCATACCATCGATCGCTCACTTCTCGATAATGTCCCTGCAGAGCCATGACTGTCGCTCACGGCTCCCTGCAGGGATTCATGCTAGGGGGGTAGCACAGGGGCTCTAGTACACATCTCCCACAACTCTATGTTTACTTAAAGCTTGGTTGCAGACTGGCATCACCAATGCCATAAAAGTTTAGATCGAATTCGCTATACAAGGGATGAATAATTATATTTAACAGTGACCTACTGATTAACTAAATTCACAAAGCTTTAATACAAGATAAGCATTTTATTTTAAGCAGTGGGGCTCATTGTCAAATCTGGCAACTGAAAGCCTTTGACGATTCTTATCCTACTGCATGAGCTTTGTGAATGGAGCTCATTTATATGCTAAAACAAACAAACTCGTAGACTCTACCTTTGCCTGTCCTGCCTTCTTGGAAGCCGCTGGCCTTTTTACAGCTTTTGGTGGAGACTCTTCTTCCTCCTCTTCTTCCTCTTCCACCTCCTCCTCACCTTCATCCTCTGCCCAGGAGTAGTCCTCTTCCACTAAAAGGTGAACAATGGTCAAAACAGATTATATCTCCGGTGTTCTAATTTTGCTATGTAGGATTAAAAGCCTGTAGTTGTAGAGGCTCCCATTGCCAACTTCTCCTGCAAGGACACTATTTGCCCAACAATAGCTTCAGTACTTTGAGTTCTGTAGATTATGCAATCTTGGGACAAGAGTCCTGGGATTGCCGACATGTGAACCTAGCCTAAAATTGTAGATCTAGTTTATGCTCTGTAGTTTGACTGAAGACAGCAGAGCATCTGGTTCCTTTAAGCTATAGGCATACAGGTTTGGTTACCCACAAGTATCAAAATGGGTTCATGTGCCAGTCAGAGTTCCTTTGCCCTGAAATGCTCATTCAGTAAACTGCCCTTTGAGGGCATATTGAGGTACTGAGAATTAGAATTCTTCAGGTGGCCAGAATGCCAATATATAGCACATGCGCTACAAAAAAGGTGGGTCTGTGCAATTCTAAAAAAAGGGACCCAAATGCTTTTTCAGCACTATAGCTGTCAGGTTAGTTGCTTGTCTCTTGACCAAGTAGACAAGTACTGTGGCCGTAGCTCCAGTAGGAAACAAACTGACTTTCCAATCAGATCAGTCATAGTCAAGTTTGCCAAGCAGTGTGTCAACTCTTAGTAACCCATGCTCTGTCCAGGTCTGATGCAGATCTTTCAATATATCCTTTTAAATGATCACAGCCTGGCTTGTCAGCATAGTTTAGGATGCAAGAGCCATGTAACTTGTAGACCAATACTCACATGCAACATGCTGACCACTAATATACACCGGCCCAGATCCAGATTTCAGCTGGAACGTAACTGGAGGAGTCAATTCAATGCCCATCATGGTAGCCTGCAAGTGACAGGAGACGGGTTTAATATTTCTGCCAACATCACGGAACATCCAGTCAGTGGAAACTCACCATTGGTAGAATAGATGGCTTTAGTGTGGCAATGGGAACTGGTTTGTTAGCACTTCCTTCTACCACTTGAGGGACTATTTCTACTACGTGGAACTCATCCTTTGCATTACTCCCAAGACATACCTAGAGACAAATACAGTAAGGATGTAGAATATAACAAAATCTTATAAAATAAAGGGGGGGGGGGGGGGAAGAATGGAAGTCGTCCAGTTGTAGAGGATTTCCCAAACTAACCCCAGTTAGTCTGCATGGACCACACTATGCCACTTGGCAGGTTGCAATATGAACCATTAATTCCCAGTGTCTATGGACCAGTGGCTTGTAATTTAGACCTATTGGAAGGTTACACTGGTCAGTCACATCTCTTCAGTTTGAGAAAGAACACTACAGATTAGCTATACTGTATATGGACAGCAGATTGTTGTAGTAAGTCATGCCAAGAAGCCAACCATTATACAGGGAAGCAAGAACCAATGATCCAAATAAACTGAATTATACTTCATTAAGGTCAATGATATGTCACTAGAAGATAGAAACGTTTACTCACAGTCCTTAAAGCCAGCTGATGCTCACTCTTGTCTTCATCTGCCACTTTAAATACGAATGTCTTGTTCTGTTCATTCAGCTCACACCCTGTATTAGCCAGAAACAAGTTACATAGCAACTGCCCAAACCTTCAGCATAACTTACATTTCTCTTTGCAACTATGGCAATAGTATTCTGAACAAACTGCCCTTAATCTTCAATCATACTGCCTTTTGTCCACCTGGTGTTTTTTTCCTTCTAAAGTGGAAATCCATTTTTAAAAAGGCAATCAGCATTAGACATGCTTTAATGAAAAGGTTTTACAATGAGACCGGGTCTCGAAGGTCTTAAAAAAAACATTGCCTTTATGCAATGCAGATATATCTGCTCATTGCATACACATAACCCTACAAATAAAATAAAAAAACATTGTATGTCAGGGGATCTCATTTTCACATTCAAAGCTTAAACAGGTTTCATAACCCTTCTGGCTAAATCTTTACTTTGTGCAAGACACACTTAACATTTCCTTGTAAAATTTGCACGTTACACTTCTCAGTGTTGCCATTTTGGACAGGTTACCCCATTATTTGCAGGAAACGTCATCTGTATTCCACTTACCCCATATGAGAGACACTGGTTTTTCCAGCTTGCTGGTGTTACTGATTGTAGAATCCATGTCTTGAGACCACTCTGAAATAAACAACAATGCTTCAGTTAGATGAAAGGGTCAGGTGCTGGTAAGTAGCCACCTGAATCTCATTTCTGGACACTGTTGGTGAGATCTGTGCTAGAACAGCTGGGTCTGCTCACCTTCTGTAGCCATTATAGCTCTTACCATAGATTATGTAATCTAAACAGGAGGAGCTGGAACAGAAATATGGCCAAGCATGAAAACTGCCAGTGGACAATTAGGCCGAGCTCTCACTATTGGCATATCCAAGTCCACTATGCACCACCTATACCATTTTCTGGGCAAGTGATTTTTCAGATGGTTCAAAGTTTCTTCCTTTCAGTACAATATTGCCTTGTAATTATTACCATTATACAAGATTTATATGGCACCAACAGTTTGCGTAGCGCTTTACAATATAAGGAAGACATTACAATGCAATGGTAAGGAGGGCCCTGCCCCTGAGGGCTTACAATCTAAGAGGGAGGGGCCAGTGATACATGAGGTATCTGTGGGGATGAATTGTTTGAGAAGATGATGGTTCAGTGATTAGGTTGAGGTGGGATTGTAATTTTGAATGAGGGGTATTCAGGACTTGTCCTTAAAGCCCACCACAAGTGGTAGATCTGTGCTGAGACCAATAATCCCTTTTAAAGACATTACTGGTAAGAGGTGGGCTTTGGAAACACTGCACCAAATAAAAGAAAATTTATAATATATATATATATATATATATATATATATTTATTACAGAAACACACCCATAACTCTAACCATAAGGAGACATTCGCAGTCAGAGCAATGTCAGCCTGGTTGGCATAATTCATTAGGCAGCCATCTCCACCTAATTTGGTAGGAGACCACAATATCAACTGTGCATCAATGTTACATGTAATAAGATTGCAATGAGGACACCATGTTGAAGAATATTATACAGGATTTATATAGCGCCAACAGTTTGTGCAGCGCTTTACAATATAAGGAAGAAATTACAATCACCATACAATTCAAGACAAGATGGTAAGGAGGGCCCTACCCCTGAGGGCTTACAATCTAGAAGGGAGAGCTGTGTGGGGATGAATGAGAAAGAGTTCAGTGGTTAGTTTGAGGTGGGATAGGCTTCCCTGAAGAGATGAGTCTTTAGTGATTGCTGAAAGGCAGACAGAGTGGGAGATAGACAGGTTGGGGTAAGGAGTTCCAAAGAATGGGAGAGACTCTAGAGAAGTCCTGGAGGCAAGTATGGGAGGAGTTGACCAGGGAGCTGGAAAGCAGGAGGTCTTGGGGAGGAGCGGAGGGGACGGTTAGGGTGATACTTTGAGACAAGGTTGGAGATGTAACCTGGGGCAGAGAATTGACAGTTGGAGGAGACAGCACCAAGTTCACCCATCCGGATAACTACTTTCCTCAGCCTTCATAAAAGAGTCACATCTCAGAGGCAGATGCCATTCTAATACAATACCAGGATGACTTTTGCCAGAAACTTCAAGCACACAGGAACATTGCAGTCATACGTAGGGTTGCTACCTGTCCAGGATTCACCGACAGTTCGGGTTTTGAATTCTGTGTCAGGGTTTCATGGCAGCAGAAACAAGATGTCAGGCAGACAGGGGCAACCAAAATTAAGATAGGGGCTACTGGCCCCCTAATAATAGTCTCGACTGATATTTACATATGAATGGGTGACGCCATTTAAATATGAATAAGGCGCAACTCATTTTCCCATAAAAATGTCCGTGTGTCGCTACAGTGTTCGGGTTTCACTTGAAGAAAAAGTGGCAACCCTAGTCATACAACATACAAAGTTGCTTCTTCGAGGGTTAGCAGGCTGCAGGTAGTGGTTTAGTTTCTGCTCCTGTACAACCTCTACAGACCGGAACACTATGGCTATGGTACAAGACAGGCTAGCTTAGCAGCATTGTCTATTCTTATATTAATCCCTCTCAGTAAAGCTTTTACAGTTTGACCAGTAATTGTTAACTAGTGTTACAGAAACATAAAAGTGCACATTTTTTTTCTTGCCCCGCCTGCAGCACTAGATTAGATTATACTAAACCAAAACTAATTGAGAAAGTCATTACAAAGGCTTTAGGGCCTGTTCATACCTGTGCATCGTGTCCTCTACAATGAGGACAGCACACCAAAAACACATGAAAATTAGTTCTTAGAACCATGATAATCCATGAAGCTGCTGACATCATTGTGCTGCATCAGATTAGTGAATTTTTAGGTCCCATGCAAAATGCACACAAAAATGCATGTCAAACATGGACACAACATAGTTAGTCAGGTTAAAAAAAAAACAAAAAAAAAAAAAACACAAGTCCATCGAGTTCAACCTATAGAGAGAAAAAAACAAAAAGGCCTAAACAGACCGCTATGCCCACAATTACCCAATGTTGATCCAGAGGAAGGCAAAATAAACCCTATAAAGCACGGTTCAATTTGCTCCAACAAGGGGACCCTACTGACTGCCAGGTATTGCCTCACTGGGTTGCTGCAATCAGACAGGAAGTGGAGAAACCATTCCAATGCATCACAGATGGGAAACAAAAACAAAGTTTTGGCTTCAGTTCAGGGGCATGGCGGTGCATTGAAGTCAATGGCACCGCAGCCATGCCCCCTGCAGTGCAATCACCCAAACACAGGCACATTAGTGCCTGCTGCAAAAAAATACTGCAAGCGCTATTTTTGCAGATCGCACTGGACCGGAATGCAGGCATTGTGCCTGCGTTCTGGGTGCAGGCGGTCGCACTGCGGGTGGGGGGGTGGGGGGCATGGCTGTGGTGCCATTGACTTCAATGCACCGCCACACCCTCTGAACACCAGGAACCAGCCTGTGTTCCAGATGCCAAACGCTCTGGAACACAGACTGTGGTGTGAACCAGCCCTAAAAATGCAGTAAAAAAAAACTCATCTTATTTGTGGATCACTCGGCTGTAGATCAATCATCTCTGAATTGGTACTGACACTGTCCTTCCTTCTGGAGGGGGGCTACTTTTGTTCTCCATGGTCCCTGTGTGTGTTGTAAAGTAATCACCGCTCCAAGCTCACTCCCAGGATGGACTACAATCTCAATACAACTAGTAAACTAAACATGAGATTGTAGTCCATCCCAGGAGTGAGCTTGGAGCGGTTGACTACTTTACAACACACACAGGGACCATGGGGAACAAAAGTAGCCCCCCTCCAGAAGGAAGGACAGTGTCGGCACCAATTCAGAGATGATTGAAGGATCTACAGCCGAGTGATAAGATACATTGTTAATAGTTGAGGTACTTGAATGTATTTTTAGGATTTAATCCGAGTTTAGGGTCACTTTAAGGCTGGGTTCACACCTAGGCATATTGAATATGCACGTTTGTCGCATTCGCGGTAACAAAAAAAAACATGCCACAAACGTACATTTCCGAGGGCTACTTGGCTGTATCCCAATGGAAACACGCGACAAAAACACCCAAAGAAGCTCCTGTACTTCTTTGGGCGTTTTGTAGCGTGTTCATACGGCCTGTAATACACCCAAGTGTGAACCAGGCCTAAGTCACTATAAAACATCCACCAAGTTTTGATGATCAGAAGAAGGACTTGGTGCTACATATACTTATCGCACACCAGAAACCATGACCACAAATTGAAGTTACAATTGGCACATTTAGTTTCAAAGTCACACCCAGGCATTTCATAGTTAAAGCTCCCAAAAAACCCTCAACCAAAATTTCAAGCCGTTATATGGAGTGGTATAGAGCGGCTTGCCACTGGGGCTCTATTTCTGTAGACATAGACTCATCTGTAGCCTAGCACACAAAAGGGGGCTACATGGGGCCCAGTAAGGGGACAGAGCAACCCAAAAACAGGAACCAGGGAGGGGAGCATTTTGCAAGAGCAAAGCCAATGCAATACAAAAAAGCAGAACAAAGTGTGGATAGCCGCCAGGTTATATACTTTTTTGCAGTGGAGGTATTAAGAACAGAGTTGTAATTGCTTTTATATGAGCACTCAGACATCTGTAGCGCAAAACCTGAAGCTCAGAAAAGTACATGAGCAACAGCAGAAGCTGAACTGGGTGTTTATGACCCCCATAGACCTCAATGGAGCGTCTGAAAATAAGCATTTGTTTTAGATTTCCATTGGTTAAAATACAAAAACACTCAAACACAACTATAAATACAAAAATAAATATATAAAGGTAGATGCTAAAAAGCCATCCATCATGCAAAAATGAACCCCCAATGCTCCCACCAACACCCTACCAAACAACCATTACATTGAGAGATCCCCAATCCTATAGCAGCGATTCACTCACAGCTAACCGAGGTTCCTTCCCACCCAGCAGACCTACACTTCCAGAGCTGGCACACAAGAGTAGAGTAGAGCACGCTTCCTGCTGCGGAGTTATATAACGGGGAGGGTAACACCTGAGCAGGATGATGAGCATGGCCATGGAATATTTAACCCCTTGTGCGAGAGATTCTCCTGTCTTGGCGTTTGGTATCAGTCTGTGCTGACTACAGCCAAAGGACCCCCAGCTGTTAGGCCCCAGTCACAATGAGGGATATTGGGGCCTGGGCATGGATATTGCGCCGTTTTCCTCGCTGATCGGCTTTGAGCTACATTGTGCGACATTGAGCAACAGTGCACATTTTATCGCGCTACATAGCGTGTTTTTTAGGGCGGGACTTCGTCGCTGCTACATTGGGCTGTTACCAATCAACAGCGATCATGATGTGACATCATTCTTTCCTTCCATTTTGCAGTGCAAAAGTGGCCCTTCTGTGGTGCGATATCGAGCGACAAAGTCGTGCGACATCGACGATAATGCGGGATTTCGCGTGACACCAAAGAGTCTATTGGAGCCGAATTGCGGGATATGCGTGGAAAAAAGGGTGATGTACGAGCGACAAGCTTGAACGACGAACTGCAGGCGACATTGAGCTGTGAGATGTGAAAAGCTCATTGAAATGCATTAGACGAGCTACATAGAGCGAGCTCGCGCGGAAATATGCGGCAGAAATCACGCGATAAACCGCTCAGTGTGAACGGGGCCTTAGGCCAGGTGGTATATCTGTGGTTTTGCTGCCCCTTCCTGCTTGGTCGCATGCTGCAATGTTGGCACCGCGGCTGAACAGCGATGTATACATTGCAACGATTGGGACCGTGGCACAATTGCGTATCCCTGTATTGCAATGGTAACGCCTTCTGAAATCCAATCCGCCGCGAATAGCTTTTCAGAAGGTGGTGGAGGCCGCCAATCGTGCACGAAACCGCGCGGTCACGGAATTGCACACCACCGCCAATCTTGTTGGCGGTGCCATTATTTTCTAATGGCGCCCCAGTCGTGCCAGGCAGATTGCGAGGTTTCCTGCCGTGATACCGCCCGTGCAATCGCGCGCAGTTCTTTGCAAAAAAACGTGCGGTGCATGTTGCGAAAAAAGGTACATGTTTTTCAGCGATTGCCATGGGGATGTAACCCCCGTTGAAATCAATGGGGCCTCACGGCAAGTGCTGTGTGCAAAAGCGCACAATAATGGCGCAGTCCCGGGATCACACAAGTCCGCACAGCCCTCAGGGATCATTGCAGTGTGCAAAGGCCGTGCAGAGCATTTCCACCTCACAGGTTCCCATCGCACTGACACTGATTTGCAACTTTGTATCTTTATTTCTTTGTGTTGGGCCACATGAGAGAACATTTTCTGATTTTGTGATCCGAATTGTGTTCAGAGATGCGATCCAAAGTGAGATCAGTTTTATTGAAATGGAAAAGTGCAACTGAAGCCAAAACTTTTTAAAAAAAGTTTTGGATGGAGTGAGGATGGATTAGACCCCCTGACAGGTTTTTATTGCCATCTGTGTCCACGTCAGGGAGATTCACCTTCTCTATTTGTCCTGGTGAATGTTATCACTGAAAGTGAAAGAAAATCCCAAATTTTGTGTTGTCACCACAACAGGATTGAATGGGATTGAATGGGAAATCTTGAAATGGGGGACACTAGGTCTGTCAAACCTTTTGCCCACCAGGTGAGTGCAGGGGTGAGTGGTGGGCATAGGGGTGCAGGGGTGAGTGGTGGGCATAGGAGTGCAGGGGTGAGTGGTGGACATAGGGGTGAGTGGTGGACATAGGGGTGAGTGGTGGGCATAGGGGTGCAGGGGTGAGTGGTGGGCATAGGGGTGCAGGGGTGAGTGGTGGACATAGGGGTGAGTGGTGGACATAGGGGTGCAGAGGTTAGTGGTGGGCATAGGGGTGCAGGGGTGAGTGGTGGGCATAGGGGTGCAGGGGTGAGTGGTGGACATAGGGGTGCAGAGGTGAGTGGTGGACATAGGGGTGAGTGGTGGACATAGGGGTGCAGAGGTTAGTGGTGGACATAGGGGTGAGTGGTGGGCATAGGGGTGCAGGGTTAAGTGGTGGACATAGGGGTGCAGCGGTGAGTGGTGGGCATAGGGGTGCAGGGGTGAGTGGTGGGCATACGGGTGCAGAGGTGAGTGGTGGACATAGGGGTGAGTGGTGGACATAGGGGTGCAGAGGTTAGTGGTGGACATAGGGGTGCAGGGGTGAGTGGTGGACATAGGGGTGCAGGGGAGAGTGGTGGACATAGAGGTGCAGGGTTAAGTGGTGGACATAGGGGTGCAGGGGTTAGTGGTGGACATAGGGGTGCAGGGGTTAGTGGTGGACATTGAGATGCCAGGGTTAGTGGTGGACATAGGGGTGCAGAGGTGAGCTTTGTGTTGGACATGCAGCAGCATATACTGTTATGTCTTTTGAGCTGTAGATGGCGCTGTAGTGCAATGTTAGTCTCTCTATATACATGCTTATCTATGATATACAGGAAGTTTTCCTATATACTGTATATGTTTCCTGCACAATGCTGTATTCTGATGTAATGTTCTCCTAAGCAAATAAAACTTAATTCAGCATTCCTCAAGATCCCAGCGCTTCATCTAAACACATAACCAACACCGTGGGCATGGGGTGCAGATGTGAGCTGTGGATGGGGGGTGCAGATGTGAGCTGTGGATGGGGGGGTGCAGATGTGAGCTGTGGATGGGGTGTGTAGATATAAGCTGTTGATTGGGGGTGGCAGATGTAAGCTGTGTGCCCCTGAATCGTTGACTACGATTCAATTAGTCCCTACGCTGTGGATAACATGACAGTGGGTGTAGCTGAGTTTAACAGAAGACGATGGGCAGGGCTGACACCACAAAAATGCTCACAATGGAGCTTAGGAGCTGATTTCGGGCAGATAAGAAGGTATTTTCTGTACTTGACCTCTGTGTTGTTATACACTACATTCTACATTGGCTGTAGAAGTAAACTCGTCCTATAACACCCCGGCAGAGTATTGGGCGCCATGACAGAAGCCGCACATAATGGGCGTGATGTACGAAAACTGACATTTCACACACGTCACGTGACACCCCACAAACACGGGTCTCGGACATTATCAGCTACAGCACGCTGCCAGGTTTCCGTAGCAACTGTGCAATGCCCGCCCTCCAAATGCAAGCTCATTGGTTGGAAGTGAGATCACAGGCGCTGATCCCTTATTGCGCATGTGTGAAACCCAAAGCGGGCGTGTCTGCGGGGAACAACAAACATGGCGGAACCGGCCTCACAAACGAGCGAGGGGAAAAGGGAATATTTACTTCCAGGGTGAGAGGGCGGAGGTGAGAGTTGAGAAGGATGGCGGCGCCGACAGGAGGAATGCCAGGCTTGAACTCACTGGTGAGAAGTGGTAGTCAAGCGGACTCATGTGTCAGCCAGGGGTCGGGTGTCCTGATTGTGGCCCGGGGAGCAGCTACACCCTTTCTGCGCCCCATTATTCACACGTGTGGCCTGTGAGCCCCCTGTCACGTGGAAAGAGCATGTCGTGGGGTGAGCAACTGTATAGAGGCCCATAGAGAAATCGGGGTGATTGTCTGTATAGGGGCCCATAGAGAAATTGGGGTGATTGGCTGTATAGGGGCCCATAGAGAAATCGGGGTGACCGGCTGTATGGGGGCCCATAGACTTATCGGGGTGACCGACTGTATGGCGGCTCATAGAGATAACGGGCTGATTGGCTGTATGGGGGCCCATAGAGATATTGGGGTGACTGGCTGTATAGGGGCCCATAGAGATATCGGGCTGTATAGGGGCCTGTAGAGATATCGGGGAGACCGGCTGTATGGGGGCCCGTAGAGATATCGGGGAGACCGGCTGTATGGGGGCCCGTAGAGATATCGGGGAGACCGGCTGTATGGGGGCCCGTAGACTTATCGGGGAGACCGGCTGTATGGGGGCCCATAGTGATAACGTGCTGATTGGCTGTATGGGGGCCCATAGAGATATTGGGGTGACTGGCTGTATAGGGGCCCGTAGCGATATCGGGCTGTATAGGGGCCCGTAGCGATATTGGGCTGTATAGGGGCCTGTAGAGATATCGGGGAGACCGGCTGTATGGGGGCCTGTAGACTTATCGGGGAGACCGGCTGTATGGGGGCCTGTTGACTTATCGGGGAGACCGGCTGTATGGGGGCCTGTAGACTTATCGGGGAGACCGGCTGTATGGGGGCCCGTAGACTTATCGGGGAGACCGGCTGTATGGGGGCCCGTAGAGATATCGGGGAGACCGGCTGTATAGGGGAGAGTTTTGGATGACAGGGTGCGTAGCTGAATAGTGGACATGGATGGGATGCAGAGGGAAGTTGTAAATGGGAGTCTGCAAAGGTGAGCTGCGGATGGAAGGGTGCTGACAGAGGCGGAGAGGTGAGTTGCAGGCAGAGGGGCGTGGGTGTGTGGTAAGGTGGGGGTGGAGGGGAGCTGTGGACAAGGGGTGCAAAGGGGAGTTGCAGACGTGGGGGTGGTGCGGATGTGGGGGGGATGGGGAGGGGAGGTGCAGCCTGGGGGATGGGGGGTGTGGAGGGGAGGGGCAGACTGGGGGGTGTGGAGGGGAGGGGCAGACTGGGGGGTGTGGAGGGGAGGGGCAGACTGGGGGGTGTGGAGGGGAGGGGCAGACTGGGGGGTGTGGAGGGGAGGGGCAGACTGGGGGGTGTGGAGGGGAGGGGCAGACTGGGGGGTGTGGAGGGGAGGGGCAGACTGGGGGGTGTGGAGGGGAGGGGCAGACTGGGGGGTGTGGAGGGGAGGGGCAGACTGGGGGGTGTGGAGGGGAGGGGCAGACTGGGGGGTGTGGAGGGGAGGGGCAGACTGGGGGGTGTGGAGGGGAGGGGCAGACTGGGGGGTGTGGAGGGGAGGGGCAGACTGGGGGGTGTGGAGGGGAGGGGCAGACTGGGGGGTGTGGAGGGGAGGGGCAGACTGGGGGGTGTGGAGGGGAGGGGCAGACTGGGGGGTGTGGAGGGGAGGGGCAGACTGGGGGGTGTGGAGGGGAGGGGCAGACTGGGGGGTGTGGAGGGGAGGGGCAGACTGGGGGGTGTGGAGGGGAGGGGCAGACTGGGGGGTGTGGAGGGGAGGGGCAGACTGGGGGGTGTGGAGGGGAGGGGCAGACTGGGGGGTGTGGAGGGGAGGGGCAGACTGGGGGGTGTGGAGGGGAGGGGCAGACTGGGGGGTGTGGAGGGGAGGGGCAGACTGGGGGGTGTGGAGGGGAGGGGCAGACTGGGGGGTGTGGAGGGGAGGGGCAGACTGGGGGGTGTGGAGGGGAGGGGCAGACTGGGGGGTGTGGAGGGGAGGGGCAGACTGGGGGGTGTGGAGGGGAGGGGCAGACTGGGGGGTGTGGAGGGGAGGGGCAGACTGGGGGGTGTGGAGGGGAGGGGCAGACTGGGGGGTGTGGAGGGGAGGGGCAGACTGGGGGGTGTGGAGGGGAGGGGCAGACTGGGGGGTGTGGAGGGGAGGGGCAGACTGGGGGGTGTGGAGGGGAGGGGCAGACTGGGGGGTGTGGAGGGGAGGGGCAGACTGGGGGGTGTGGAGGGGAGGGGCAGACTGGGGGGTGTGGAGGGGAGGGGCAGACTGGGGGGTGTGGAGGGGAGGGGCAGACTGGGGGGTGTGGAGGGGAGGGGCAGACTGGGGGGTGTGGAGGGGAGGGGCAGACTGGGGGGTGTGGAGGGGAGGGGCAGACTGGGGGGTGTGGAGGGGAGGGGCAGACTGGGGGGTGTGGAGGGGAGGGGCAGACTGGGGGGTGTGGAGGGGAGGGGCAGACTGGGGGGTGTGGAGGGGAGGGGCAGACTGGGGGGTGTGGAGGGGAGGGGCAGACTGGGGGGTGTGGAGGGGAGGTGCAGACTGGGGGATGGGGGGTGTGGAGGGGAGGTGCAGGTGGCAAACTAAAACCTCAAACGTTGTGTATAGTTTGCGACACTTTTGCTGCAAATGACAGTTTCTGGTTTCTTCCTCCAGGGGGCGGCGGAAGCGATGTCAGTGGCCCAGGCACTGTCCCTGCCCGCAGAGTCCTATGGAAATGATGTAAGTAGGGGCCCCGCGCTGAGGAAGAGCCGAATATTTGTCATCTTCTGTGTCTGAGCCCAGGAATCTGAATTCACAATATCACATAAATGAGTTTTTATTGAAGGGGCGTCTGTGGCTGAAAATAAATCTGAATTTCCATCAGTTCTCTCCTAATAACAGATCCGTCTAGGGCCGGGACCCCATGGTAACATTTGCCAAGTTGTGGTGACCCCCAATAGTAAAATGTAGGGATGACGCGGCTGCTTTAGCGACATCTGGCGGGAGAACTGACACTGCTGCGCTAGCAGAGGGCTGAGGAGGACTCTCACCTAGCACAGCAGAAATCACACAGCAACCCACAGGTTGAGAACAACAAATCCCAGAGCAATACAACAAATCGCAGCAATAGTCCATTATACTATAATGTTCTATTGCTGGGATTTGTAGTCCTCTGTAGCTGGTGTTAGTCTGCGTTGCGCTGTATAATTTTATTATTGCTGGGAGTTGTAGTCCTCTATAGCTGCTGGTATTTTGCATTGCGCTGTATAATGATTATACCAGCTATAGAGGAATACAACAAATGCGAGCAATAGTACATTATACATACAGTGTACAGTGTATAATGTATTGCTGGGATTTGTAGTCCTCTATAGCTGATGGTACATATACAGCACAATGTACCATCAGCTATAGAGGAATACAAATCCCACTACCCCAGCAATACATTAATGCAGCACCATGTGGGGGGTGGGGGGTGGGGGGTGCAGGCTTACCTGAGCAGATTGTGAGAGATTGAGAGTATAAAGCACAATCTTTTTGGTAGCTGCACTGTGGATATAACCGCATTATGTACGCTGTTAGAATTAAAAAAAAACACCATAGGAATGCATAGCTAGATTCCTATTGGCTATTTCACTTTGCAATAGCAAACTAGCTATTGCTCCCGCCCTCTGCTGCTGTCAATCATTAGAAGGGAACCTGATGGAGAACTTTCAGGTCCCCTCTGCTGACTGGCAGCAGCAGAGGGCAGGTGCAATATGCAATAGCTAGTTTGCTACTGCAAAGTGAAATATCCAATAGGAATCTAGCTATGCATTCCTATGGTGTTTTTTTTTCCTGACTTACGGCCGCCCTGATGTTGGAAAAAAAAACAAAACAGGGCAGAGAAAGGTTTACTCTGCTCAATCGAGCAGAGTAAACTTTCCAGGGAGAAAGTGTTTCTCTCCCGGGCGGCTGGGAGCCACTGGGCGACCCCTGGCAAGTCGTCATTCGGCCCCCGACCGGGTCGCGACCCACAGGTTGAGAACCGCTGATCTAGAAGATTGTAACTGTACTTATTGGAGATACACATAGGATGGACTTCCTCCATGCACTGACACCATAAAAATAGTATTTCCCCAGTCATCTTCCAGGACAGCCATCGAGATATAGGCTCCGCCTGCCTGCAACAGGAAGCACATCAACCACATTAAATAAATAGACTCCTCCTTCCATCCCAAGTCAGTTTTTTTGTGTTTCCGCCGGCTACACAGGGACATCGTAATGTTTGTTATTTTTAGGGCTCATGTTTGTTTGCCTTTGGGCTGAGCCTTACCCTGCTAGGCATTGGGACCTACTCCAGGCTTACCTGCTGCAGTGCCTACAGGGATTCCCTATCGGACCCCCACCCGATTTCTGGCCAAGGTTCCCTTCCATCACTCAGGGAAGGCAACCATCCTCCTGCACGTGAGTAGGCACCAGATGGTGGCCCCCCCTGGTGTACAGCAGTGGCAAGGTGTAATAACCTGGAGTGTGCTTGTGTCCTATTGTGGACAAGTGTCTGGTGACAACAGGGGCAGCATGAAGAGGTGTACGGGGAGGCAATCCAGGGGTCCCGGATACCTCTGCAGCATACAGAGCACTTACGTGATGGTAGGGGAGCGGTGCAGTCGGCGACAGCACGGGGGTGTTGGCCTCGCGCGAAGCGCTGCATCGTCTTCTTGGCTGGTTGCTGGATTCTCTGCTTAGGCTGTGATTATGGCAGGTGACGTCACTGGGGGCGCCGTCGCCACGTGTAGCACGCGCCGCGTCGTCGGCTGCGGTGACGCGCTTCCGGTGCGCCACTTCCGGTTTCGGCTCAGCTTCGCGCCGGAGACATAAGGAGCTGGAAGG